GGGACTCAGCGAGTCAGCGGGCTGACTCGGCGAGTAGAGTTAGTCATGAAGTTGACCATGACTGAGGACTTTGAGTTTGACCAAGAGTTGACCAGTTGACTTCCAAGAGCATTTCGGTAATTTTTGGTATTTATTGGGTTCAGTATTTTGGTATTATCAGGGGTGGAGTTCGTGTCAAAGGTTGGAGCAGCGTGATCTTCTCTTTTCAGTCAGCAGTTGCAAGGTGAGTTATCCTCACTGTATCGACAGGGTCTAAGGCACCAAGGCCGACCCTTTATCGGATTGTAATCTGGGTATTGCTGTTATGTTGTTGCTTTGCTATGTTTGCATGCTGGTAGTTAGGATGGTATATGTTAGAGACCTGGTTAAGGTTGGTATCCTGGTATATAGGATGATTGTATGCTAGTGACCGGTTAGGTCGGTATCCTGTTTAGAATATGTTATTTTATGTGATCTTCTAGATCGGTTTGATTGGATGTGAATTGTTATATGATTGTATGTTTATGTGCACATGGTTGTTTGACTGGGGTTAAGTTGAGGCGGGTCCAGCGTTGTGCTGTAGGCCAACATACCCAGGGCGGACCGATTATTCCGAAGGCCCAGCGAGCAGTCCGGATAGGCTGTAGGCCCTACGAGGGCGGACCAGACGTGCCGAGGCTCGGAGAGTGGACCAGGCCGACTGAAGGCCCGATGCGGGCGAACCAGTCATACTGTAGACTCAGAGAGTGGACCAGGTGGGTTGAAGGCTTGGTACGGGCGGACCAACCACACTGCAGACTCGAGGGATATGGCTAGACTCGGAGGGTGGACCAGGTGGACTGAAGGCCCATTGCGGCAGACCAGTCACACAGTAGACACGAAGTGTATGGTTGTTTTGTTCGGTTATGATATGTTATGCGTGGTATATGTGGTTGGTATTTTGGGGGTATGTCACTAAGCTTTCGGGCTTACAGTTGTGGTTTAAGGTTTTTCAAGTACTTCTGGAGACCGTGGCAAGGTGAAGGCGTGATCGTACCGCTCCTCATGTTTATGTTTTATGTTATGGTTCTGGGAATACTCTGATAATAAATGTATTGAAAACCTTTTTGTAATAACTTAATGAATTGGGATGCTTTTGAAAAGTTTAAATTGGCTTCAATTTTTAGAGGGTTACAAATTTAAATCTTTTATAAAAATATCAAACTTTTTATAAAATATACACTAAAATCAAATTTTTATTCATAAAACCTTTATTTTATTTTATTTTTATTTATAAATTAAGGGTAATGTTAATGAGTTAAATTTTATTTTCCTTGACTATATTATACTAATTTTAATTATTATAAGATCATATTATAAGTTTCATAACTATTTTTATAGAATTCTTGATGTTAAACTTTATAAAATTGAAGTTTTAGGGTTTTTAGGGTTTTTGAGAGTTTGTAAATCTTTGGATATCAGAATATATAGAATATTTGAGACTTTAAATTATCTTATGGTATTATAACTCTTTTACAATTATAAATAATGTTTGTAATTTATTTTTATCAGTTTATTGGCATTCTATGTAGTGATTCCAAGATTCAAGCGAAATTGAGGAATCAAGTATACTAGTCCTAGTCTTCAACTTTGACTTAAGTTTCTATGAGACTTTGACCTAATTTCTACTACTAGGTCAAGTCCATGATGTGTGTATATGATTCATGAAATGGTGTTCGAGTCAAAGAGTGACCTGAATATGGATAGTCTCTACAGTTAAGTAGTAGTAGAATTCACATACCAATGTGAAATCCAAGCATATTATCCATTGTTTCTAATTGTTTCCAAGTTGCTAATAGGTTATATCTTAACTTCTAGTTACTAAGTCTAGTATGTTTCGTGCCTATATGTGCAACTAAGTTTATTCAAATCTAGAACCGAATCGAATTTTGATGGTTGTCACAAGAGGGGGGTCGACCTCTTATAGCAATGCATGTTTCAAAGAAGTAGGTTATGATATATTTAACTGATCATTTAAAGTATAATTAATCTAATTTTTAATGTTAAATAAGATATCACTCGAGTTGAAGCATTTCGTAAGGCTAATACCAATCACCAAAGGGTATTTAGTAGTCTTGCAGTCGAGCAACAATACGTAAGTGGTTAATTTGTATTTTCATATAAGTGTCTTATCGTGAAGGGGTATTTAGTAATCTAATTTTTATGGTGTTTATCATTATTTGAAAATACAGTTGGCTTTACCCCAAGAGATCAATCAACAAACCTAATCTTCTTCTAAAGTAAGCGGTCTAACACCTAGTGAAATAAAAAACTTGTAATGCCGCAACTCTCAGATAATAATTTTTTTGGCTTTAATTTTCATAAATTGCAAGGTCTACTCGACAAGTTGGATGCCCTAACTCGGCGAGTAAAAGCGGGTTGGGCCACATGTTTAAGTGACCTACTCGTCGAGTCCAAGACAGGACTCGACAAGTAGGAGCTGGAAGATGAAACCCTAATTTCTCGGGTTTTGCACCCTATT